GGGGCGGTGGGGGGCGGGGTGGCCAGACTTTGGAGAGAGTTTAGAGGACATATTCCATATTAGGAAAGTGGACCAAATGACCTCGAAAATCCTTTCCCAATACTGCTGTTCTGTGAACTTAAGAGTTGAGAAAAGGTTTTGCCAGGCTCAGTGAGGGTGACTGGAAGCAGTTTTGTAGCTATCGAGAATCAGGGACGTTCAGGAGTCACAGAAGTCGGGAATCTTTCATATTAGGAATTGTTGCAATTACAGATAAACTGATACAGGGATCCGTTTGAGTTTGGTTTTTCATTCAGAGTTTGCCCTGATCACTAGAGGTTACTGGAGGCAAAAGGGAATATTCTTCAGTTTATTGTCAGCCACATCTGAGATTAGGTTAGCTCTTAAAATGGGAACAAACCAAGTACCTTGGATCCCTGCTTTTACAAGAGAACGCAGGAGAATCGAGGTCAAGTTAGAATATAGTTGTTCCATGAGGTTTCTCCTCATGTTGGCTGTTTCTGTGAGAGCAAGAGCTATTAAGAGCACTCATGGCTTCTAGAGAGAGTGACTTATGTGGCTGATGTGAGCTAGAATAGAAAATTAACATGCATATGGGGTAAGTCTCAAATTTTAATTCACCAGCACCTTTAGGGGAATGTAGAGAAGAAATAAAAGGTGGCAACAGCTGACAGTAAACATCAGGAGATTTGCTAGCAGTGGTGTTAGACATTAGCGGTAGCAGGTCAAAGATATCTCCATTAGGCTTTAAGACAGTGAAAGATTTGGATGCATGTACAATTTAGGCTGGTCTCTGAATTCCTACAGTTGTGGGCTTCCCTCATCATCGTTCACATGGGGATGCCTCTGTTGCCCATGTCCTTCCCCAGGGATGCAGGAATAAGACTAGGCCAAATGCGTTCATACTCCGTAAGTCCTTATCCTATCTGTCTACTCAGTCACCGACTCATTCACATCCTAGCTGATGCCAGGTTATCAATTTCCCCCTGCTTCCCTTAGAAGTCCAGTGTTTTCTTCTACCCTTGCTACCTGTCAAGATGCCTTCTGTCTAGGGCTAACCGTTTCCTCTTTTGTTGAAACCCCTCCAAATTTCTATTCTATTGATCCTTTTTCTCATGTTTTTAAGTTCCCTCTATGGTGGAATCCTCTTCCAATTTGCAAACAACCTCTTCCTTTCCATAGCTCCATGTTGGAGAAAACGAGATTGTACTGAGGCAAAGTTGGAGGGAAACTAACCAGGATAGAAGGGATGTCCAGGCCTACTCAATACTTACAATTGGGCTTCTGGGGAGGGGTGAAGGAAGTACCTCTTCCCTTAAATTGTCAGGCATATTATCCTCTTCCTTCCCCCCAACATAAAAGCAAG